CAATAAAAGGAATGCCCTGAATCGGCGATTTTTATTTAGGCCCATAAAAGTAGGCTATGCAGATGGGCTATGGGTCGGAATTTAAATCATTTGAGCAAAGTTTTACTTTAGCAATAAAAAAACTTAAAGGGATTGTTAAACAACTTTTTTTAATAATACATTAACTGACTTACCATTTTTTTAACAAAGAACAAAAATATATACTAAACCATTAAGTTATAATTTCCTTAAGATACTTTCCTCACGGTTATACTTATATTGTGTACGTTCAAATCAGCATACCCAATATGTTAAACTGTGTATTTATTAAATTTAAAACTAAATTAAAAGACCGAAAATGCATTAAGCTTGTCCTCTAGTTAAGCCTACTCCATCAACCCTTGACCGAAATCCAAAAACCCTTCTTGGGTTGACAGCCTTTCGTAGGCGGAATAACGACTTTAAAGCTTTCTAAATTTCAACATTTTCATTATGCCAAAGGGACACACATGAATTCATTTAAATATAGGTATATACAAACCGCCGAGCTGACCGCAAATGGGAAACGTCTTTTGGTCAGCCATCCTCATACCCCAAAATCATACCCTTTTCAATGCAAAATGAGAACTAATTTGAATAATTTACTTTCGCTGAACTCGGTCGCAAGAACATGAAGAGCAGAAACAACATTAATTAAAATGAATGGCGGAGCAAAAACTCAAAGGCCCCAAAAAAAAAAACAGGGGACTTGTAGAACAACCTGTTAATCAGATGATGTCCGGTTCCATCGGGCTAATTTCATGTTCTCCTGATTAACAGTACACCAAACTTATAGTGGCCACCGAAAGCGGTTCGCCGCTGCACTTCTAATGCAAAGCTAATTTGGGGCAGGTGCACTGAAAAATAAGTATTTTATTCAATAAAATTCATTAAAAATAGGATTACTTTCCACACATTTTCTTAATTTATGGTTTCAACAAGGAGAAATTGCGTATACGCAACGTTGGCAGTACTGGGTCATTATACCGTTACTCGTAGAGTAAAGGTATACTAGATTCGTCGGAAGTATGTAACAGGCAGAAGGAAGCGTTTCCGACCCACAAGTATATATTCTCATCAGGATCACTAACCGAGTCGATCTAGCCATGTCCGTCTGTCCGTCTGTCTGTCCGTCCGGATGAACGCTGAGATCTCGGAAACTATGGGAGCTAGGCTATTGAGATTTGGCGTGCAGATTCCTGAGCTTCTTACGCAGCGCAAGTTTGTTTCAACACAGTGCCACGCCCACTCTAACGCCCACAAACCGCCAAAAACTGTGGCTCCTACAGTTTTGATGCTAGAATAAAAATTTTAACTGTAATGTACTGTTCTCATCAATACCTATCGATTGACCCAAAAAAAAGTTTGCCACGCCCACTTGAACGCCCACAAACCGCGAAAACCTGTGACGCCCACAATTTTCATGCTAGATAAAAAATTTTAACTGAAATGTATTGGTCTCGTCGATACCTATCGATTGATCCAAAAAAAAATTTGCCACGCCCACTCTAACGCCCATAACGCTTAAATCTGTATACCGCCGGTAGGTGGGGCATTTTAATCTCGCTTTGCTGCTTGCATATCTCTATTTAGCTGAGTAACGGTATCTGATAGTCGAGGTACTCGACTATAGCGTTCTTCCTTGTTTTATTTGGCATGTTTTATTCATAATAATGCATTAAAAATTAGTAACACTCCAAATAATATAAATTTTATATATTATAATAATAATACAATTCTTAATATTTAAAATTAGTCTAAACAATACATAAAATCATATATTCTAACTAATAATTATCTTTTTTGGACAGTGTGCACTGGGGATCTACCGCAGACTGACCGGTGGACTGGCACTGGCATAGATTTAGAATTTTTGCGAGGGAACTGATGCTGGACACAATGCTTTAATCAACCGCAAATGCAATGAGCGTTGCAGCTGCTGTTAATTAGCGTTTGTGTGTTCCATGTGCAAAAGCTGGCGAGGCACGCAAAATACGAGCAATTGCCAAGAAGAAAATGTCACACGTAGTCAGATTATGTGGTCGATTTAGTGACTGTGGCTTCTGTGGCGGCAACTTGGCCAAAATATGAGTAAGCATTTATTTAAATAAAATAAAATATATACAAAAATGCTTTGCCATTGACCGTACAGCTACACTTTTTGAAGCAAATCAAGCACAGGTGATTAAAATAATGAAATGTCCAATTAACCATGCCTACTTAATTATGCACATAAAATTCAATTTTTTGTATACCTCGTTCCATTTATGAGAAATGATTTATCCATTAGAGCAATTAATGAAATGATAATTTGATGTATATTATTAAAGCTTAAGAAGCTTTTGAAAAAGCACTTCATTATGAACTGATTTTAATTAATGAGTAATTATAAGATCATTTAACGAACTGAAAAAAAAATCATACAAAATTAATTTGAACTAAGAACAAAATTTAAATTATTGAATATTTAATATTATATTTTTAAAGATTTTTTATTGAAAATATGTATTCCTAGGGCTCATTAACATATTATAATTCTATGTTATATTTTGAGCAAACCATTTCCGCAAATGTTTTGCCGTCCATAACGAATGCAAGGCAAGCAATTAAATAAGAATTTATGTTTAACCAATTCCCTGTGGTCAGCTCTTTAAGGCCCAAATAAATGAAGAAATATGTACACAACCGGGCAGAGATATATTTTTATATTTGTGGATGCCTGTCTGTGTACGCACAACTCCATTCAGTATACACGGCTGACCCTCGGCAAAATTAAATTTTGATATGGGTCTATTTATTTGGCAGTCACACGAGAAACAAGAAAAAAACTTTTGTGACTCTTGTTCGTAATGCAAATGCATGTGAACCGATCCGAGCAATGTCTGGGTTCTTAGCCACCTATAAACTGGATTTGTTGACACCGCCCAACAAAAAAACCACATACTCACGTCGAGAACTTTTTAAATATGCATGAGCACCTTTTTTCACCGATGGGCTCGCCATACCCGGCGTATACTTGATAACAGATATCTCCTTTCAGCGCCACAGAAAACAATGCCAAGAGCAAGATGAATGGGGTCAGTATAGACTTTGGAAGCAGACTCTGACCCAAAGCACTTCAGTCGGTGAGTTTTTTCACATAGAAAATAAAATTTATGGCACCTCATGGTCAAAAACAAGAGAGCCTGCCAAGAAGTGAACACCTTGAATTACGACTAATTGAATCGCACCTACATCCATAGCTGAATTTAATCTAAACCGGAACTTGAATGTGCTTATCCCAGGCCTTGTCACTTTCTTCAGTGACATGTCTACCAATTTAGGACACGTATTTCTTAATTTAAGCAGTTTGTTAAACTGCAAATATATTGACCAAATATAGTATAGTACATATAGTAGACCCAGCTTGTGCAGACTCTCTTTTGTACTAAAATTAAGTGGAAAAAGTGTCTGACCACCAGTTCCAAATAAATACGTGTTAGTTGTCCTTTGGAACCCCCTTTGAGATAGTACCAAAGTGCAAGTACACCGAAACTAATTTCAGTTAAATAAGGATTTAAAAAGGATTATATAAAGTTCATTGAGGTATATATATACGACCTCTTTAAGTTACAAAAAAAGAATAAGTTTACTATTATTTTTTAGCGATAATAATATTAAAGTTTTTTATTACAATATTTTGTCAGCTCAGTATATTTCCACCTTGAACTTTTAAGGCTACCAAAAGATCCAGTTTTTTTCCTTTGTGTCGTATGTGAATGTTTGTCCTCGCTGTTGGCATGCCTACAGGGGTGTTGTAGACTCCTGCCGTCAAGTAAATGGAAATTGAACGTGCAAAAGGAGCAACTGGTTGGGCATCCAGCTAACCAGGCACCTATGTGTGTCCACCTGTTAGGATGTCTTTCCCCACATTGTTCGTAAAGCAGCCGTTCCACAGAACTTCTGCAGGACTTCAAAGGAACACTACAGGTATCCCGCTGATTGGCATGCACGAGCTGCACTTGGCGGTGGGCGTGGAGTCCAGCTGTCGATTTCAACCCGCTCACACCTGGACGATTCCTGAGGAATTCCGATTGTCATTCCTCACTAGGAAAAAATATTTAAGATAATAGATACATAGGTGAATAATAAATAAAATAAAAAAGTTTAACATTTCATATCTTTTTGTTATTATTATTCATAAGTTTAACATATACACGTTTTTAAATTGTTTTATAAACTACATACACATTTTTTAAGTATACTTAAATAAATATCTAAGGAAAGGAGACCGAAAAAAAGCACTATTTGTGATTTTTTTTGAAGTGTTATATTTTCGTAATTCGGCTGACATATTCGACTGTATATTTATCTTTCAAGCGTTATACATATTTTAAAATATTTTTACAAATTAAATTTTACTCTTAGTGTATTTTTATCGGAGCTCGGAATCGAGAGTGGCGCGTGCGATGATCAAAGGCTTGTAATGAATGTCAGGTGGTGTTGTGTTAATTTTAAATGCTGCTCCTAGCCACGATGGGGATGCAGGCACGGGCGCAAGGACAAGCACACCTGCCGGAAAAGTTTCTGTTGATTTAATTTACTTTTTTAGAATTTATGTTTGTGTTCCTGCTGCGTGTGTTTATTGTGTGTGCTTTTTTTAAAAATTGCCATACAAAGCAGACGTGCAAAATGTTTCGAAAGTTGCATGCGGTGTTGAGTTGGCTGCTTGTTTGTTCTTTCTGGCGTTGTTACGCCTGTCTGCCATTTCGCTTTTGAAGTCTCCAATGGCTTCTACATCTACGGCGAGAAACTTGGGAATTTCAAAGAAAATGGAAATTAAATGAACTTGAAATTCTGAGCAGCTTAGACTTGAAAATCGTACCCATACTCACTCCCAATCACGGAGACAATGGATAGGATTTTTATTTTCGCGATTGACTTTGTAAAGCTTGAAACATATTCCAAAGAACTTTTAAAAATATTTTTAAAGAAACATTTAATCTTTTTAACAAAACAACACTTTATTATTTTTCTTTCCTGCGATGAAAACGTAAAAAATATAACTCAGCTTATTTCCAAGTTTTTAAATCATAAATCCAAAATTAACTGCGTATAACCATTAGGACACTCACATCGTCTATCGCGTTTTGAATACTATACTTGGTGCCTAAAAAGATAAAATGTATGAGTACTTTCTATAGTAGGTTACTGCTGTGAAATCTTACCCTTATCTATTTCTATCATGTCGCCAACACGTAGAGTAGCATGCACTTCCTCCTCTTCTCCTTCGGACTGGGTCTGCACGGCAAACTCTCCAAATTGCACAATGAATTTCTAAAAAACGTAATAGGTTCATAAAACTGATAGCTAGAAATTGAAGAAACCTCTTTACTACTCACCAGAGGATGGACTTTGGCGCGCTTTTTGTTGCGAGTCTGGTGGGGCTGGAATCGCATATAGCCCAACGTTGCCTTTTCCTTCGTATTGTAGAAAGCGTAGTCAATGCCATCTACCTGGGTGAAAACCAATTCATTTGCAGTAGCTGCAAGGACAAGAACATAATTGCTATTAAATATATGTACCATAATGGCAATTATGTATACTTACAGACACTCGCGTTTTCATCCGACATGCCAGGAGTAGGTTGGAAATCGCGAACGCCTCGGAGCCAGTGCATGAGTGAATGGAGGCTTCCTCCTGCTCGTCTCTGAGAGGAGTTGCCGGTGGCACATTGGGCTCTGGGTCGGGGTCGGGCTCGGGCTCCGGCTCCGTTTCCGGGTCTGATCGTTTCTGAAGGGAGTTACGCAAGACGCCATGGCCTCTTCCGGCTCCGCATCTGGCTCAGACGGGTTTCAGTTTGCATAACTTGCGCTTGCCTCTTGGTCGCCCTCTTTTCTTGGCAACCTTTTCAACCACTGTTTGCACCGCCGCTGGCGCCGTATCCTCCCACGCCAAGGGACTGATGCCAAGAGATTCCGAGTCCGGGATTGCCTCTGACCCTTTTTCGGCATTTCGTGGGGTACTGCTGCACAATGGTCCCCGGCTAACCAATACTTGTCTTCCGTAGCTTTCTTCGTTTTTTCGACTGGGCTTTCTTCGTTTTACTCAAATTTGCTTTTTTACCTTTCGAGTTTTGGCTAGGAGCTGTGCGAAGTCACGCATGAAGCCAAACTGCGTAGGATCCATAGTATGGCACCAACTCATCTGAAGTGGCACTTGACCTCGCTTGGAACGCCTAATGCCGGCTAATGAGCAGAAAATATAAATAGAGCTATAAAATCTTAACATCAGTATATATACTCACAGTATCGTCCAAATTCACCGGAACTTTCGACAGCTTTAACTTGTCTACCTCAGACTTGTGTTTCTTGTATCTCGCACGTGGTGCCGGTGCCACTGGTTTCTTAAACACCACATCATCGTTCGAAACATCTTTTGACTGATTCTTTTCCATTCTTTGACTACGATGCAGAGCTTCCAGAGCCGCTCGACTTGTGCTGGGCACATCATCTTCGTCCATAGATGCCTCATGGACAGGCAGATTTTTGCTGCTCACATCACTTGACTTTGGAGCTGGCGGAGGAGTGGGAGTGTTTACGCGTAGGGATTCCATTTGTTCCGATTTCTCGATAATTTCTTTCTCTTGTGTGGTTGGATCAGCGTTTATTTCTTCATCAGCTCCAGGTCTTTTGCGGTTATTTGAGAGATTATGGGACTTAGATGACAGATTGGGTAACTGATCAACATCTTGGCTTCTTGATACACTCTGATGATTACGTTTCTTTTTGCTAGATGAAGTTTCACTGGCACTTGGTGTCGATGCCGATTCCGGAGCTACATCATTGGGACCATCAATACATTCTAATGTAAGTGGTACCACTTCATCCTGCTGCGTCTTTGTTTTAGAAAGTTTTTTCTTCTGAGATTCTTTGCCCCTGCCCCGCGACTTTATCACTTGATCTTCACTGGAAACCCGTTCCTCGTCTTCGACATCATCCGCAGTGTTTGGAGATGGAACGACTCCGCTCTTCCTCGCCATTTGTACACTTGGCTTGAGGTTGTCTGATTTTGTTCTTGTTCTCCTCAACCTCCTGGGTTGCTCAATACCGCTATAGCTATCGACGTTGCCATTTTCCAGGGGCTCCGGTGGTTCATTATGTTCTAGTTTGTCCTCCATATCCCGATTCGTCGTGTTGTACTCAGCAGTTTTTCTTGTATTTTTCAGCGACTTCCTTGGTGGCTCATCGTTACGATCCTGTTCCTCTTCATCTTCGTTTTCCGGTGGGTTAATATATTCAAGTGGAGGTGGTACCACTGAGTCTTTTTTAGTCTTTTGTCCACTCTGTCTTGGCTGCAAACTAAGCTCCGGTTTTTTTGATGTTTCGTCATTTCCATTTTGTTCCTTGACTCCTTCGTTCTCCTGTTGTTCAATATATTCAAATGGAGGTGGAACCAGCTCGTTCACTTTCGTCTTTCGTCGAATCGACTGCTGTGATGGTCTGGCTGTGCCAATTCTTGGTTGCTCATCGTCTTCACTTTGTTCATTGTACTCCGGTGGAGGAGGAACCAGATTGTCTTTTTGACTTTTTCGTCCAATTATGCTTCTGTTTTGTGTATTTACTAAATATTCTGGAGGCGGTGGTGCAATTTCAATGCTATTACTGTTCCCAGTATTATGAAACTCTGGAGGAGCAGCCATCACGACATCATCGAAATCGAATCTAGTGCTGCGGCGCAGATTTTGCATCGATTGCGAATAGCGCAGAGAAGCGGGAGGAGGCGGAACAATTTGAATACTTTTACTCAACCTTGGCAGCTTAACCGGCGATGACGAATCATAATCTTCAACGTTGGAGTCTCCCTTTGTGTAAAGACTTCGTTTGCCTTCCCTGGACAATTTCCGTCGAATTTCCATAGTATTGGAGAGGCCCAAATAGTTCTTTAGCTCCGTCGTCTGCAGAGTAAAATCGAGAGGGATAATTTAATGAACTTCATTTATGCTTCACTTATTTATTTCCTAAGACAACTCACCATTGGAGGATCCCGTCGGTTAGAGCGCGGTCGGCCCCTCTTCGATCGTTCACTGCTTCTTCTTATATTACTACGGGTTCTTCGCGTAACCTGCAAATACTCCTCCTCTGAATCGGAATCAGAGGATGGTTTCCTGGGCAATCCGTCGCGCTCGTCCATCATATTTCTCCGCATCAGTTCCTGCTGAATAAGCATCTCCGAACGGCGCTTGTGCCCATTTAAAGGAACCACCTCGTCCGAGATGCGCTTGCGCAGATCCAAAATCTCATAGTTGCTCATGCGGGCCAGTTCGTTGGCGAACTGCTCGCCATTAATGGGAGCACTGGGGGCCTTGTTCAGCGGTACTGTTGTCATACGGGGCCTAGTCTTCTTTGCATTGTCCGACCGGTGTAGGTTAAGCAGGTGCATGGAACTCTCCTTAGTTTCGGCAGTAACTCGAACCCGATTGCTATTGCGCAAGCGTCGCTGGCGAGTTGTGTTGCCGCCCGGCGGGGCTAGATTCAATGCCGCTGAGCTAGGCTGTTCGTCACTTTCGTCGTCGGTCATAATGGCGTCTACATTTTCTACGACCGGCAAAGTTTGGTCTTTCGGTTTCGGGGAAGGAGCGGCTTCAAAGTTTGTAGCGGAAGATACCGGTTGGGAAAATGACCTGAGTGGAGATGTCGGAGGAGTTTCTACCTGGACAGAATTCCGCCTTACACTCTGATTTGGATTCGTTGTGTTTATCACCACAATTGAGCCGCTGGCATTCCGCGACAGAGTCTGGACCAGGTCTCCCAGATCCTGTGGCTGAGTTTCCGGCACCACGAACTCCGGTTGTGGCTGCGATTGCCAGGTAGGTTCATGACTCGGTCGTTGTGGTGTGTCGGGCACTGTTACTTCTTGATTCGTACGCTTTAACTTCACCACTGGTGATTTGATGATTGATTCACAGCGATTTGAAGGTGAAAGCAGCAACTGTCCCGGAGCTGGACCTTTTTCCATGGTGTAAGTACGTCGCAAACTTGCCACAGATTGTGAAGGCGGGGTCGAGGGACGCGAGTACGGTGCCCGACCAGTATATTCCAGCTGCAGGACATTGTTGTAAAAGGAATTCTGCCGTTCCTTGCAGATTTGTTCAATTTCAGCGGCGAGAATGGATGTCCTGGAGGGGGACTTCACCTCTGGCGGTAGAGATTTTTCCCCTGGCTTTTCTGCTGGCTTCTCGGGCTGCACCCCGGTTTTTCAACTGGCCTTTTTGTTTGTCTGCTGGGTTTCCGGCAGTTTTCGCATCATCCTGTTTAGGTTTCTCTGCGCAGGGTGTGCTGCTTATTTCTGGGACCTAAAAGATTCGATTTAGATAAGATTAAACTTTCTGGAGAGTGTGGCACTTACAAATTTACGGGACTGGATAGGCTGCGGGTCAGGTTGATGGCCTCTTCGAACTCAGGGAGCAGTTGGCGTCCGCAGCTTCGGGATCGTCGGCGGATGGCATGTCGACGTAGCTTGTCGGAGCCCGGAATATTTCCGCTGCGGCGTAAGGATCGTCGATGATTGGGCGACAAAGTGGGCGAGGTTGTGGGCGGCGGCTGATTCTCATTGGATGCCTGGTCCACAGGCGGCTTATTGGATTGCTCGGGGGCGGCATCGGATGTAGTAGTCAACTCCCGCAGTACTGTAGGCTGTACTTCTGGTACCTTGGCCTTGGGCTTGGTCTTCTTGATCAGTGGCGCCTCAAAATCCAAGTCAAAGTCGAGTTTGAAGTTACCAAAGAGATTGCCGTTCTCTGGTGGCTTGTTTTCGGCCAACTTGCGCAGCATGAAGGCGGCGAAGCGCTCCTTGTCCTTTACCGGCTGGCTGAGGATCTCGTCCAGCTCCAGAGTGTCATCATTATGGGGCTTCGACCTAAAAATAGTTGGGTGTACTCCGCGTTAGTATGGTTTTCTGCATGGTCTCCTGTAACCCATGATCGCCATCTTACATTTTGGCTATGGTCACTTGACCTCTGACGCTTCTTGCATAAATTACTACACTTAAACACAACTTATTTCACTAATTTCACACAAAAATTCTAAATTAATCAAAAGATGCGACGCTATTCTATTGGTGTTGCCAGAAACCTTTAAAGACGCGCCTAAGTCCGGTGTTGCCAGATTGTTGAACTGACAGGGCTGTCCAACATTTAAAAAAACAGTTAAAAGTAGCTATAAATAGCTAAAACGTACCTGTTTTCATTTTTCATTGGCAGTTTAATAAATATTGCATATATCTAAAAATCTAAACTGTTTTTAAAAAAATAATTACATTTTAAACAGTTTTAATTGTTTAAAACGAATAACAAAATATTCGTTAAAAATCTTCAAAATCCACAATATCAATTGGAAAGTTTAATTACCACTGTAAAAATGTATATAAAAACTTGTTAAGCTTAGATTATTAACAATATTCAAAGTTAAATTTATTTTGATGTTATTTGATTTCAAGAAAATGTATTGTTTATTATGCATATGTATATTCAATATATTTCGACCATCTGGCAACGTCTATTAAATCCGTATTTTTCGGGTAAAAATACTAAATATTAAAAAGCCGGAGTTTGTCCTTTGTTTGAAGCAATTTATCATATTTTCCAGATATTGATGCTCTCGACTCAACTTTTGAACAGCTGAAGATTATTTTGAACTGGCAGTGGTTTAAGACCCTGCGTGATCGGCTCGAGGAGAAGCACAGGGATCTCCAGCGCAAACCAGATCTAAGGTAAGGCAATGATTGAGGTACTAATTACCCTTTAAATTAAGATACAGAATGACTTCCAGACTAGTTAATAAACCTATTATATGCAGTTAATCGCTTTCAGATTGTGAGCTTTATGGACCACAACATTCTGGTCTACTTCACGGAGAAGGGTAACGAATCCACTTCCGAGAGGGCAACGAACACCACGGCAAACATCGGTCATAGGTTATAAGAGTGTTATTTATTAAAGTGTTTTATAATTATTCGAATGTTTAGTCAGCACATATGGTCCAGGTTAGAGATTCAGCGTCTCATTTGAACTTCTTGCCGCCCTTTCTCGCCACAGGAGCATCCACCGTGGGCACCTGGATGGAGTAGTACTTTGTGGAGATCCTGTTCAGGAAGTAGAGGCCCACCAAGGAGAACAGGACACTGGTGGTGGCACAGACGCGATGCACGATTCCCGCGGCGGCCACAGTAAGTGAGAGGCAAAAGAGGATCTCCGGCAGCAGCTTGGCTTGAAGTCCTGGCCAAATATGATCATCTCCGCGTTGGAGACGCATGTGAGGCTCAGGATGAACAGCCAGGAGAAGAGGTATCCGCCCAAAAGCACCTTCAGCTGCGAGTCGTTAAACCAGTCCGAGCAGAATCGCAGTGTGGCGAAGAGGACGACGCTCAAAGTCCCGAGATAATGGAGGACACCAGGGTGCTCTTGCTGCTCATCGAGGCGGCTGCAAAGGATCGGGTTTTGGTTTCTGTTGTCCGTAATTTCCCTGCATTTGCTTACACATATTTTCTTTTTTCTACCAGCCGGCGTCTTTCATGTACGTGTTAAATATCGATACCTTTGCAGCTATTTGTTTGCTATTATCGATACTCTACTATATTATCCATTTATAAGGAACGTTTAAAAATAATTTGCATATCATTAGCAGATAGAAAATATTAAACATCAAAACTTGTCATTAATCTAAAATGAAACTTTAATATTTTCCCCACTATCGATATACTTAAACAATTATTGATTGATGTGGCAACGCTGCGGCTTTCGTGGTGAATGGCCAACCGAGCAATAACATTGCATTTAAGCACAATTTTTATAAATTATAAATAAAAGACGCCCTCAACATGGCCTCCCTGCTGAAGGTAGCCACCAGGACAATCGGGAGTTCCATCATTCAAGTGCGCGGCGTGGCCACCACAACGCCCAGGCAGATAAAAGAAAGTGAGTTCCACAGACCTCCATGGGGTGTTTCATAACCCCTCCAAAGGGGAATAGTACAAGAACTAATGGATCTTTTCTGTTAAATACCACTTCCAGTCCAAGAGAAGCAGGAGAACAATGTGAAGATCTTCGAGGGCGTTAATGTGGAGTCACCGCGTGCCGACCTCATGCTCAAATCCGCCTGCCAAACCAAATTCTGCCCGGAGTGCACTCTGGGCCTGGACATCAAGCACACGGATGTGCTTATCCTGTCGCAGTACGTCCGCTCCGACGGCTGCATGCTGCCCAGCGGATCACCGGATTGTGCACCGGCAGCAGAAGAAGATGGGCACCCTGGTGACCATGGCCCAGAAGGCGGGACTGATGCCCAATCTGGCGCCGAATGGAGCAAAAAGGATCCCAAAAAGCGTTTCGGTTGGCGCAAGTTCAACAAGTACTTCCTGGAGTCCACAATAAATACTAGTGTTAAATGCAATAAATTGTTAATAGAGGTACTTCGTCAGTTGATTAGGATTAACTTCTCTGGGAGTCCATCTATTATTTTGGTTTTAAATCGAGTAATGTAAAATAAGGCAATTTATAATCACAACTAAAAAAATTGTATTTAATTTTAAAAACAAAGTGTGCTGGATTTTTAGCTGATCCAATTTGGCCACACTGCTCTAGCGTCACTTTGTTTATAATTTCTTTGTTCCCGCAATTTTTCAAAGCTTCTTTCCTTGCACAATGAGTTTTTTGAGCAATAGCGGCACGGTTCATGTGAAGTTCGCGTAAAAAACGAATTGTAAGTACAGCCGTTTGATAATGGAATAATATTTAATTACAAACCTTTTGCAGTCGCCTTAGTGAAATTCGCAACGGTCTAGAGCGGGCCTTGTTGGCTTATTTTCATTCGGCCAGCAGTTTACCCAGAAATTTGGCATTCGTGCCGGACATCATTCAAGTTCAGCGTCAATACTTGGAGAGCGTGCTCCTGGAGCGCGACAACGGCGACGGCCGGCATGGCAGAACACCGAGATCAAGTACCGCTTCCATTTCTATATGACCCAGCGGGTGGAGGCTACTGGCGGACTTTCCCAGCGGAGGCAGTGGGGACTCGGATGACATCGACAGCGTCGTTTCGGCCAATCATGTCCTTCTGCCCGCCGTTCAGTTTGTGGGCCTGTGGGAGAACCTCATCTACGAGACCGGTCTAAAGAGAAGGTAAGGGGAGCTTAATTATATAGATACCAGCATAAACCAAATCTTACAATCTTCCTTCCAGCTCCTAAAATTTGCCCTGTCGGCACTGACGTTTTCGCAGCACCGCGTGGACATAATGTGATCGCCTGCAACCGGCTCTACTGCTCCATGGCCACCGGGAACGGGAAAGACGAGCCTCTGCAAGGCCTTGGCCCAGAAGCTGGCCATTCGAACCCAAGGAAGCTATGCGTACACCCACCTGGTGGAGATCAACAGCCACAGCCTGTTCTCCAAGTGGTTTCGGAGAGTGGCAAACTGGTGGCGCGCCTGTTCTCGAAGATCTCGGAGCTGGTGGCGGATCGCAACAATCTGGTCTGCGTGCTTATTGACGAGGTGGAGTCACTGGCCTACGCCAGGAGTGCCATGTCTAGTAACGAGCCCAGAGATGCCATGCGGGTGGTGAACGCGGTACTGACTCAGCTGGATGACATCAAGGCGTGTCCCAACGTACTCATCCTGGCCACCTCCAACCTGGCTCAAAGCATTGACTTGGCCTTCCTGGATCGCGCAGACATGCGGCTGTTTATCGGGTACCCCGGTATGCCCGCTATTCGATCCATATACAAGGGCATGCTGGCTGAGCTTATGACGGCGGGAGTTCTGCAACGCGAGGCTCTGGAGGCGGAGGACGCCGAGGAGGGACTTTTGACCCAATTGGCCGAGCGGAGCATTGGACTAAGTGGTCGAACACTGCGTAAGCTGCCTCTTTTGGCCCATGCCCAGTACACCAGCAGCGATCTCTTCGAGCTGGACCAGAAGATCAGCCTGTCTGACTTTCTAGACGCCATGCTGGAGGCTTTGGAGCAGCATTTGGCCGAACAACGCCTCTTAAAATCGAGTCCTTGGAGGAGCTCTAAAGGAACAGCAAAGCTCACACGAAAAAATGCATTTACTACACCTATTCTAAGTCCATCAAATGCGATACTTTGTAAACTTCAATTTGCTGCTATGAAAAACAATCCGGAGCAGAGGCACGGGTCCAATCCCTATTCTGTTTGCTGCCTCGTTTCATTTGCACACGACACAGAGATTTTCCCCATTTCTTTATCCGGCTTTTGATGTGAAAATCAAGCGTGAAATCTTGTTATTTGCTTGCAAGCCCCCACATCCACATCCACTGCCCTTTCCAACATCCACATCGATATGCACGGACATCGGACCCTACGCAATCTCAGCACTTTTGCCTTGCCTGTCCTGTCCTTCACATTCGAGTGTAGGAGCACTCTCAAGTCCGGCACAAATCGAAGCTATTGGATGCTGGTGGCACTCCTGCAGGAAGAGAAGGGGTGAGTTTGGTGGTTAAGGACACCAAGTTATTGCAGGGGGGGCAAGTGACGACTAATCAAATTTTTTGACGATTTGATTCTGTGTTGATGCTGCCTGTTGATCCGTATCATCCGTTTTGAAGCCACTCAGTCAATTGCAGTCGTTGCATTAGCTTAGTCGGAAAATATGGGAATCTAAGGGTGGAGTGTAAATCCAACAGCCTGATTGAATTTCCCCATAAAATAGATGCCATTTTGTCCGCACACTGAATCTTATGTTTGGTTGAAAAGGAATTTTAATTCCTTGGTAATGATAAAATCCAACTAAAAATGAAATAACTGGAAGGTGCTATCAAAGGTATGGTAATCACATTAAAGTCAGTGTTTCTAAATGTTTTCTAAGAACACAGATTCAATATTTATTTAAATTCATATAAGTAAGACTCATGAGGGTGTAAATATCCCTCGGTCCTCAAAGTGGTGTTGTTGTTGGGTGGCTTTAATTAAATCAGGACAAATACCCACCATTGGATTTGCGCAATGAAGCAAGGAGTAAGGAGTCGGGGATAGGTGGCATCAATAAACCGAAAGACAGTAAAAATAGACAAGTAGGGGCGCCATCGAATTATGTGAACGAATAGCTGCAAGGCTAATAAAATGTAGATGTGCTATTCGGAGTGGGGGAGTGCGATAAAACAGATTCCTGTTGATGAAAATGTGATGCCATGCTCATGGGTGATTCCGCCCATTGTCCTCCTGCCGGGCATATAAAATATACGGGGTTTATTAGCCACACGGTTACGGAATACCTCAGTATCTAAATGGGAGACGGCAAAAATAACCTGAAAAGCACTACTTAATATATAAAAGTTAGGATAGCTTTCTTTATTTTTATACCTGTCACAAAATTCTGAGAGATAAATTAGATTTCTAATGATAAAGGTAGTTCAGTTATACCTTTTTTAAATCATTTTAAAATAGAGAAAACGTATCCTTGAGGCGAGAAAAGTTTCCAACTCATCTGGCATTCGGTTGTTGATTTTTACATTCTATGGTAGAACGCGTTGTTTGTCTGTTCCACTCGTGTGTTACAAGTATCTATATTTATTGTTTAACGTTTATTTCAGCAGCAAGGACTACGATTCCAGCTATGTATAAATGGGCTTTGAAAGCGGCATCCAGTTGGTTTTGCCTGGTACCATTTTCTCTCCGTCTGCTGGTTTTGTCTGTGCCAACAATTGAATACAAGTACAAAGAGGTAAATAAACATCCAAAATCATCGCCATTCTATGCTGCAGGATATCAGCAGTCTAACATTATAGAGGGCTTCAAATTGAAGGTAATTCTAATTTATTTTTAAATTTAAAATTACTTCGAACCCTTGATGGAAAACTAATGGTTATCTGATGGAAATATATAGAAGAGCTTATAATGGTAGTGAAATTGGCATGTTCCCTTCTTTATGGAGCATAAAGTTCAATATAAATATGTAACATTTTTCGGTCGACTGCAGTTCCCCAAAATGTACCATGTAGCATCCTTCTGGAACCCCCGGAACGGACCTCCGGAAGTTCCTCCCCCGCACAATCATGCAGTTGCATGGAGAATTGAACCATTGATGGTTACGTTTATTTATGTTTTCCTTGCTCTGTGTGTGTGTGCGAAGCCTGTAAGCAGCATTTTGCAATTGCATTTCAGCAATATGGAAAATTCCCATTGTTATCCAATGCGACTGCTGCCGATATTGTTGTTGCTCCTGTTATTGTTGCTTGGGAGCAATTGTTTCTTGTTTATTGTTTGGATTTGTAAGCTTACCGTTTTGCGGCGTTAAGAAATTTAAATTTCCATCCGAGCAGTGGTAAATGCTTTAATATTGGCCCAGCTCTGTCTGAAATTGGAAAACTAAAAACGGAAGCACTTGCCTATTTACATTTGCACAAAATACCTGGGCTTACAATGGGATTGAGAATTTGTGATTGCTGTAAGTCTGGATTAATATTTCATAGGGTATAAATTGCTGTTTGTAAGGCAATTAATTCTGGACGGAGTATTTGTAAAGCAGAAAGATAAGTTCTACTTTGGGTCCCTTTCTCTGATCAAAATGCAAATAAACATTCATTAACTATTTGGTTTTGTTAGTTAATTAATTACCTTGGATGAACAATATGTTTTTGGTTTGCTATTTACTTGTGGGTTGAATTTATATGGTTTATAAACCTACGGCAAATCTCAATTCATGAGTTTTTTATTGCAATAAATCAAAATTCAGCAATGCTAAATATCTATAAAAAATCAATTAACACAATAAATATTAATGTGATTTAATCGCAAAAAATTAATTAAAATTATGAATACATTGTAAATATGTGCAAAAAAGCAATATTATTTAATTTAATGGCTTAAAAAATTAGTGGAATTTTTTTTATTAATGCCAACAACTTTTCTTTAGCTTTTGAATGTTAATAATATTTTTAAAAATATGTTAATTTAAAAAGAAGCACATTGATGAATTATTTAAACCCGTTTAATGTTATTTATATTAAAGTTCGACGCAGCTTAGGTTTAATTTAAATTTTTGTGGTGGGCCTGGCGCCAGAAAACATCGATTTCGCGTATTCCAATATCCAACCCCTCTTTTGCCCACAAATTGCAGCCGCTGCAAAAATATTCTCGGCTAAAGGAAACGCGAAATTATTTAGTTATTGAAAAAAGGGGTCGTTAATTATGTATCTTTGGCCAAGAATTTTCTTTGCCAACTTTCGGCCAAAATAAATATGGAAAATATGGCGAATAAACCCGAGCCAGCCGCACAATATCCGAAATGGATAGCAGCACAAGATAGTCCTAAATTCAATTTCAGCAGCCACCGACACGCGGTTTCAATATTTTCAAAGTTCACTTTCATGCAAAAATATGGTAAGGAAGGTCGGATACTATCGCAGGGTGTATGAAAATAGATTGTAAACAGACCCGACACTCTCGGTCACAACAAGTAGATAACTTTAGTATTAGATGTTGGGTTCCTCTTTTCAATCCACGACAACCATCGTCAAGTAAACTAAGTCAACCCAAGGAATATGCACGTACATATGAAATGTTCTCAAAACAATGAGGAATAAAATGGTGTTTAAGAAATTATTTGAATGAAAATAATCTATTGTCCTTTAAAATCCAAGTTTCTTATTTATTTAGATTTCAATATTGAAGGGTTTTAGTAGAATGAGCTAGATCCAATATCTCAAGATCTATAAACGAAAATAGTTCCCAAACTATAGTTCCAACCCTTGACTAAAATTTGCGAATATAAAACTGGGAACCAGTTAAACTCGAGTTTACATTTGTATGGCGGCGTTTCTGTGTGTGTTATTTATGCTTAGAACGTGACTGGAAATATGAAATGCAGCAAATGTGTTTACTTAAATGAAGTGAGTGAAAATTGACAAATACACACAGAGGCACACCCACAAGAGGCTAAAATGCAGTGCAAGGGCGGCTCGAATAGGAGTAGGAAAAGGAGGCGTGGCCGGGGTCACATCCGACTAGCGAGCTTAGGGCACATGAGAAATACGCCAAAAATGGCAATGACGCTAATCCCTTGGCCGGCGCAACTCTCACACATACGGGTGCACCAGTACAGTGGCCATCGTCCAAATCCGATTCTCCAATTCGATTTTTAAAAAAGGTGACCCAGAAATGCATATCCATGGTTTATAATCAACGTTTATAAATCTTTTGGATACCTGTGACCCAGAAAAGGCATATTCATAGCCATAAACACAAAGGATCCCTATTTTAAAAGGCATATCCTTAAAAAATTATATAAATTGTTTCATTATCATTTTTAGAAAGGTGACCCAGAATTGTATTTAAGCCAATAATTTGGGTGCTTTAGTTCCGAGATCAATGTTTTGGCTCAAATCTCTTTTAATATGTACTATAGCAAATTTTTCGTTGTCACTTCTTAAGTTCCTCAATTTCCGAGGTCCGACTGTGGCGCACACTCGAACCAACACACACTGTGCGGAAATATGTCAAATTCAATAACAGCCAAAGTGACGTGCTTCCTGATCCGCACCCCTTGGAAACCCTTGTCCAGGATAAATCTGGCCAAGAAGAAGGAGCAGCTACTGTGGCGCCAAACTCTGGACAATGGCAGCCAACTCTATTTCCCTGACCCCTCCTTTATGTCCTGCAGCATCCCCATTCTACTGGCCATATAAAAATGTACGATTTCTCTTCATTTGATGAAACGAAATACAATTTCTCAACGAGCAACGCAACTGAACGCAAAAAAGTTGGTTGCAATTGCAATTTTCTTGCCAAATCAGCGCACGCTGCTTGGTATATTGACATTTTTAAAAGCCAATATTTCTTCGACTTGCAGACCCATGGGTTTCTTTTTCGCGAAGAAGAAACACACACAAAGTACGTCCAAAGTTGGGTCACGAATTAATTTATTTGAGTTCGACAATGTATGTATAAATATAGATTGAATGAGGCCCGCGCAAACAAGAATAAAAACTGACACAACTTGAAGGAAGTTTAAATAAAATACAATTTCCTTTTCAATTTACACTATATTCTTTTGGAAGAGAGTTAAGTATTCGAATTCATTGTGTAAATATTAAACATATTTACTATAGTTCTGGTTCTTGTTATTTATATCCTACATATGAAACATTTTGTGGCAGAAAGGACCTTTGTTGTAAGAATTGCTCACCTGCATTGCCCTCTAATTAGCCGAGGTGGTTAGGTCAATCCACCTTTCTGTGTCGCTGCAATTACACTGATTAATGGCGGTTTTGGCACCCCCTAAGAATGCTTGCGGTTTACCACCCATTTCAGAACCCTTTTTAACTATTTGCTGCAGAATGAGGAACCAGTGAACTGGGAATGACAGTCGAAAGGAAACTTTTTGCTCGCACAACTTTGGCAAGTGAAAACTGCAAACGCAAATGAAATTAGTCGAAACTATTTGGCCATTTCCGTGGCAATGAGCCGGCCATCCACTCCACGCCAATTTCCATAGGCATCGACATCCGCATCCTCGACCGATTTTACATTCACACTGGCAAAGTCAAGTTCGTGACGCGCGTTATTTCTAATTATATTGGGAGGACCCCAAAGACCACGCCTAAATTTGCACAGGAAAAAAATATACAATGTTCAATAAGAATTCTGTATATAAACACAATTTAGACTTTTGCACAAAAAATGTTAGATGTAATGCATTAGGATTATTAAATTTATTATTTTCAAAGCTATAGTGAACTTTTTTTTATTTTTAAACAGATCAGGATAATGCAGAACTCGATTTTCATTAATATTTTGTTAAAATCAGGGATCCAAATTTCGATGTTTCCATAAAAAGAAATGGTTTGAAACCTACACAACCCACATGGTTATCATATTATATGATCTAAACAATTTTCTTCTGTTTAGATCTCATCCTCTCCAGACTGTTCCCAATTTGATTTCCATTTGGTCGTGAGCCGACTTCTTTTCCCTGCTCGTTTTTAGTAATTTTAATTGAAAAAATTCTTCAATTTTGCCATCCATCTGACTGGCAGGTTGATCCCGTCCTGGCCCGTTCGCATCTATCAGCAGACAGCCGTAGAAATGTAATTAGCCTGGCCCTAACCCAACCCCAACGCCCCGCAAATCCACCGTCTGTTGTCTGTTTGTGTCAACTTTTCAATTAAATATTCATAAAAAATGCAATTTGCCAGCCACTTCGCTGGGCGGAAAGATATCTCGAAATTACTTTTAAGTGCTGCATAAGGTCAAGAGGCGTGCCTAAATGTCTATTATGCGATTGATTTGAAACAGGGCTGGACACTAAAAGGGTCTAAAAATAACGTAGTAATTTTTTTGGTAAATTAGGATATTGCAATGATTTTCAAGCAGCTACACATCTATGATTATATCATATAAGTATAGTAAGTGTATAAGTAAGGCTTTTAACTATTCACTTTTTATCCCAGTGGTTATTTTAAGAAAAGTACTTAATAGATACAAAAATGGTAACTCAGTTCTTCGCTAAGGTTTTCCCATTGATGAACTATTAATTCATTAACCCACGTTTGCCCATTTCCGCTTTGCATCCCTGATAGTGCAGCATGTTAGCAAGTTCAAGCACAGGAAGAATTGGGGAATCTTTAATTAAATTGGTCACTGGGTGGCCAATCGTTTGTGCCAGGTGATTTTTGGGGAGCAAGAGCTTGGCGGAGTCGCTAATTCTAAAAGCACCAGTGCTTTGTCTGGCATCTGAAATTGGCCCTTTGTGCAAGCGAAATGGCGATAATTAATCATTGCTACTGCGGTTAGTTGACCGCCCTTCGATTTGTTCCGTGACCTGCGTTCGCGCTAATCATTTGAGCTACTACTTTAATTAAAAACCACAACTCTGTGCGGCAACTGGCGTAAGTTATTGGCCAGCGATGATTTGCTCCTTCTGACCACACAATGTCACTGCCACATGATGTTGGCCGTTGAATTGTGGCCATAATCAGAAATGCCATCCACTTCAGGTACTATACATTGTGCGCAGGAGGGCGAAGAATTTGTAGGATAGTTGTAGCAGCTAAAATAAATTAACTAATTGAAACTAATACTGATTAAAGGGGAAGTTTACCAAACTTACATCCGATACGGTGACCAGTGAGACATTGAGGAATATTGTGGCCTTTAGGCGACTGGGTTGTTGGGCCCTCTTAACAATTAGAACTAGCATCTTCCGATAGCGTAAATCCGCATGGAACCAGTCGTGGTTGTAGACCGCTTGCCCAATCTGCTCACTCTAAATTATATATTAATAATATAATTTCTCTATATAATATTAAGAATAAGGATAATTTAAATCAGACATGCATTAAGTATATTAAAATATATCGAACTCACCGCATCGATGAGCCGCTGGGCGTGTGTGGCTATCATAAAGACCTGCACCATGGCGCAGAAAGAAACAGGACGAGCATTACCAGGTTGTCGATCTTGCCACCGATGGTCATCTGGAATCCCACGAAGCAGATGATGAAGGATGAGGACACGAAGTTGCACAGCAGGGATACCCGAAGATCTCGTTAATGTCCTGGCAGAGGAGCAGTAACCTCTGGTGATAGGCCACCACTGCTTGGATGAACTCCAAGTCCCGCTGTGGTGATAATATCCCGCCACATGCCCCTGGATGTGGCCGGAAAGGCGGATGAAGTGCATCACCACCAGGGTGACAAGGCGCACATCAACATATCCGCTGCCAGCTGACCAGAGAGACACGCCTGTCCAGCCAATTCTGCGAGATATACATCAGGTAATAGCTAAATCCGGTACTCCAATCCCAGGGAACCCAGCAGTAGTAGGGCAGCATCCTCTCAAATTTACGCACTCCCAGCCAGAAATCGCAGACCAGATAGTAAACCGCCCAGTAGAGGTTGTAGGTCCAGATCAGCACCAATGCATGCCAAAGTAAAACTTACTATATCGACTATAGCCACTTAGGTGATACTGATATTATATGGCTCCTGCTGATCCAAGCGTCCGGATGCAAGTTCTCCAATTCGTTAACCACTTGGGTGAGTCTCTTCCGCTGACGCCAAATGTGCCAGATTTTAGATCCCCAACGACCACAAAACCAATGAAGATAGATTCATGGTGGCTCCAGAAGTTGCTTCCCTGCTGATCGCCAGAAATACGTAGATCAGTTCCGAAATTAGCACTGCATTCAGGTTACCATCTGCCCAATAAACATCCAGTGGAGCAAAGCTCCTCCTTTTGTCACTATCCTGTGATCGTAGGCCAGCATTCCAATTGAGAGATAGAAAACATTTGCATACTTTAGAAAGCCATCCAATGGAATGGGATCTGATTTCTTCCTGCTTTGGGTTCTTGAGTTTGCTTCTTCGCTGCCATATTGGAATTGTCCAATTTTCCGCTCCTTTGGTCCATATATATACCTATACCAAAAATTAATGTCGAACCCAGAGACCCCTTCGATAGCGATGATTTAATAATTTACTATTGCCGCACACACTGGGCAATTGACACACCCACTTGATTAGCATGTACACGGGAGCATCTCTCAATTAGGGCGTTGTGAACCCGTCAGTTGGTCGTCCTGGGGGCGTGGTTAATTGCCCCTAACTCGAAATCGATGACTCCCACGATTAAGTGGCTCCAAGTTGCTCACAAATGTCAACGATTAGTTCGAAACAGGGTGGGCAATTGAGTGGACAAATGTCTTAATACTAAGGTGCCTTAAATTGTACCTCTGTTCTGGGTAATTCACTCCTGAATTCCGTTCAATTAAGACACTTTTTTCAAATAATACAGTTTTTTCACTTGTAAAATATTTTTACATTGCTCTGTAAGATTTTCTATCTCATTTGGTTTTATAAAACAATTTTATTTTCCTTTCATCTGTAGAGCAAGTTTTTTTTTGCGCTTTTGAACGTTGTACGTTGATTGTTGATGTTTTGTTTTCCGTTCGGATATCTCAAAGTATTTGGAGATCCATTTATGTGTTTTCTTTATGGCCTGCACAGCTTTTGTTTCGTCCTTGTTTTTGCTCCTTGACACACTTGCTGGGCTAAGAGTGTGTCAGTGACATGAGTCCTTGGGTTTTTGCCTATTTCCTGTTTACACACACACATCCAGTTGGCCGGCTGCAATGCATTCGGATTCCCATTTCTTCTGGGGCAGATGACACCCAGTTTATGTCTGGATCAACTGTTTTGCTGCCTTGGAGTAATGCTGAATTTGCTTGCATTCTTTCTCACTGGAGGTTTATTCGCTCGTTTGTTTTAATGCAAAAAGTCCTAGGAATTTTGCAATTAAATTCGATTCAGGCGGGCCAAGTGAGATGACAGCCCGGCGAACCCTTTCTTTATCCCATTTCTGAATCAGAATCAGAATCTGACTATGACTAACTGACCTCATTTGCGTATCGCATTCCTAATGAAATTTACATGACTATTTCGCCGCAGCAATGTTAATGAAGAGCATTTATACGCACAGCTGTCTGAATGCATGTGTGTAGTTTGCCATATGAGATTTATACTCAAATGCAATTAGCATTTTAAATTTATCTCATGCGGCGCACAATTTTTCACTCCTTAATGGCATTTGTAATGTTAAACCAAAATTAATTTAATAAATTGTTCTTGCCGCCCTTGGCGACTGTCAGCGTTATGCAATTTTAATGTATTTCTATTTGCCACTTTAAGTTTTTGCGCACTGTTTTTCGGTTGCGGGTCCAACGATTATGTGTAGAAAAAGTTATTGGAAACAAGTTGAAAAAACTGTGGTTACAGAAGTTTTATTGATTTTAATTATTTTATTTCTGTAATTGTCGTGGTGGCATAAAAAGTTAATAAAGAGGGATTTAAACTGCAAAGGTTGTGGTACTAAACTAGAATGACAGTCGTCATTATGTCTGAATAATACAAATTAAATACGGTCATCAGGTTTTATTTTTATAAAACAAGAAACCAGCTTAAGGTTGGTAATGTAATTGCATTTTATTATTGCGCAAACAAGCTAAAATAACACACTTCGAAATGCATTTTATGATTATAAGCTTAGTTTTTAGCAAAACGCTGGCTCACATTTGCAGGAAAACAGCTTTCGCTTTTTGGGCAACCCGTTTTCCAGCTAATACTTATGCAGACTAATCTGCATGTATATAGCATACGTATGCCTCAGCGCCCCTTGGCTGTGGAACAAGGTCCTTGAGTTTCCGTTTGCATTTTGGGGCCGACCCCTCTGGACGGGTTTATCTGTGGCGAGGACCAGAGACAAAAAAGGGGTCGGTGTGCCTATTTCCACACCCCTTCCCTTTCGTTCCAGACCCCAAACAAAGCAATTATGTGTATATGTAACTTGCACAGCATACGATATCTACAGATGTGCTATAGTAATAGAACTATAATTAAAGATATTATATCGATTTTTATAGCCTAAAAAATGTAGTTAGATTATGGAAATCCAAAAAATAAGTCTATGTATATTTACAGTTGTGGTTACTGAAATAGAACTGTGATTAAGGATATTTATCAATCTCGAACACCCTAAAAAATATAGGTTAATTATTCGAATGTATAATGTCAAAATGTTAGCTATCCTTTTTACAAAATATATATTTTTATACCGCCTACTTTGCCCTCGAGTGTATATGCATATACATTGAGTATAAACATTTTCATTTATTTTCGTGTGTGTTTGCTAGTTTCTCTCGTTGTTGGTTACTTTGTTGCAATGTTGCATATTATCAAAAACATTTGTAGCAGGAAAACAGAGCGCTGCATGAGTTTGAGTTGGTCGAAGGGCTGCATTTTTTTTTGGTAGGGTTTGTACTTGATCGGGGAAATGAGGGGAGTCCGTGTATATATTTTGGCTTCTGGCGTTTTTGAATGTTTGCCAAATGTTGTTGGCTTTGGCGTAATTGTTACACCAACACTGAAATGTGCAATGATAAGGCCGCGATGTGTTTTTTTATTTCACCATCGCCATGCTGGTTTTCCACCCTATATTTCTATTATTTTTTCGACTAGCTGCCATTGCCCTTTGCTGGCAGTGTGCCACATTCCATGGCAGGGCACACATGCTAGGGGTATCCTTTTCCCCTCCACGCGGCGTCCATAATAAACCTAATTTGAGAGGTTGCGAAACATAAACTATAGCTAACTTGTTGAAATATATCGATTTTTAAAATAATATGGCTTACTAAGAATAATGATATTGGTTATTGTTAAGATCATTATGCATATATCATATTTATAAAGTATACTCTTAGTATCCAAATTATTTGATTGACCATTTCGCCAGAAGTTTCCTGCAACTATGAATATATAATACCTTTTATTTCCAGCTTCATATACCTTGGAAAGACCTGCAACACCTTGTGTGATTTAATAATCCCCACGTGGGCACGCTCCAAACAAGTTCCTCCATATTTCAACCCATTCGTCTGCCTTCAGTTACCCAAACTTTTTCCAGAGACAGAAAAAAACTTTGCGCACCCAGTTTATTGGGCTTTTACGTGGGCGAAAGCGCTTTCACGTCTGAGGGTTAAACTCAATTTTGAATGCATTTTTCTGGTATTTAACTAATTTGGTTAATATTTCGCAAACGCGGTCTGAATTTGACTGAGCGTATAAATGGCCGGGGGATTATAATCATAAGAGGAAGGGTGTTTGGGCTAAAATGTCTGCCAGCTGTCGACTCCTTAAAATGTTTGTCCTTGCCGCATATAGACACAGGCCCTATAGACAGACGACGATGACTTGGGAGTGTGTGTTTTTGAGCTTTGTTATGTTTTGATTAACGCAAATCAAATCAAACGAGATAATGAGTCGGAATGAAATTACTTATGTGTGCACTCAATGAGCCGTGCAAGCAAAAGATTAATACTTAAATGGCTTTAATTATTTTCCCATCAAATTAAGCACATTGCTCATACGCTCTGTGTCACCGTATGTCATTCAATGCATTGCGATGGTATTTTTGTTCAACTTATTTCCGAAATCCTGGTAAATACAGTGTGAACTTGTCTAATACCCATATTGGGTACAGCAACAAAAACCAGACCATTAGTAGCATTATTAATAATCATAACAAATGCTCACCATGACCCAAATTTGTGCATGGACATGCTGCTCTCTATTGCAGCTTCCCCCTCGAGAGACGAACAGCAAATTATTGTTTAAATATTAAACAACCCCACACACACACAGGCTGTTCAGAATGCATTTTGAGGGGCAAATACAATGGGCAGATAAACAAAGCCCATCGTCTGACTGTGGGACAAATTTGCATAAATTAAAGAACACCGAACTTGTGCCAGACACATACAATGCCTTCCGATGGTATATAATCAGGAATTTTGTCGTATGATTCAAACAATTGACCTAAATTACTATATTAGCATAGCATTGCACAGACATATAAGAAACCACAATCAATAGCATCGTAATTATTAGTAATATATTGGTGACCAATAAATAATACGAACTATTTAAATTGCAGCTCTGACTTTGCCAGATAAATACTATTTGTATTTATATGCAATGCTTATTCAATTTAAATACTTCTTTGGTCTGGAATCTCATATCGAAAATACACTTTAAATTTAAATTCACCTGTTATATAATTCGTGTGTGTATATTCATATATTTGTGCTTGAGCAGCCATGCAAATTAATAATTATTCTATGGTATGCACATAATCATCATTATTGTCTGGCTCATTTGACAGCAATGTCATTTCCAGTTTAACTCGATGTGATATCACCCCCACCCCCATTTATCCCTAAAGATTTTCCACACCACCCATGTCTACCATGTACGTACAAATTTATAGATACCTACAACCATATATAGTATGTTTGTCTATATAGAGACGGCATACATATATATTTGTCGCAGCTTGACTTCAATAGCAAAATTGGCTGCACTTGCGACAAGAGGCAACCTTTTTGTAAATATTTCATTCTGGTTTTATTGGTCTGTGGTCAGCTCGTTTCTGAGGTTATAAAGTTAATGAATTGCATTTTGATATGTGTTGTGGACTACCACCTCCGTTTTGCCCCCTTTCCCTCTGCTCTTCCCGATGACTTGGACTTAATAATCTTTAAAGCGGAAGCCTCGCCAGAGAAAATCGAATGAAGATTAAATTAAGTCTTGGTATGGTAGTTTTTCTCAGGTCTCTTGAAGTATTCACATGACGCACTCGGAAGGACACACCTGCACATTGCGATAAGCTGAGGGAAATTCGCATTCGACTGGTGTCCCGTGGCGTCGATGGGGATATTCAGCTTGAACTCGATTTCATGCATTTGTCATAATTGGCAACGGAGTGTGCTTCGCCCTCCTTGTATGTCCTGGTAACCCCCTGAAAACCCCCAGCACAAACGTACTAATCGCATCAGCAGCTCCTTTGCCGAGTTGCATTAAAGTTACATTTTAGCCAGCCAAAGTTACATGCCGTTCGTTCTAGGTGCAATTTTCTTCGTACGCCGTAAAGAAATTGGTGTAGGATTTAAGGAACTTTATTTTAGATAAATATA